TACTCATGCACATTGCTTAGCTGTCTGTGGCGCTCAGTAAAGTGACAATTTCCCTGGCTCAGAGCTCACTTAGAGACTAAGCTCTGTGAGACCTCTGAAGCTGTATTCTTCAGGTCTTCGTTCCTTTCCTTTCCGCACTGAGCTATAACTTACAACATCTGGGAGTGACAAAGCTGTCCAGGGAAAAAATACCAGCAAGGGACAAAGAGGACTAATGACCAGGACTTTAGAAACAGCCCCCGTTTAAGTTTGGACTTGAAAAATACAAAAGGGTCCCTGAGGAAGGGCAAGAAAGTGATACAGGGAGAAAAACTGATCTCAGGAGGGTGACCTCCAAACCATACAGGGAACCTCTAAATGACAGGGAAAAAACGATCTCCCAGCCTGACCTGCACAAGTTCGTGTTCTCTAAAACAAAAGAATGAATTTTGGGAACAAAAGGAGGTTATGAGCAGAATATATTTATTGAAGGAAAGAAAAGCTCCTCTCTAAGAGAGGGACAGGAGGGGGGCCCGAGCGGGTAGTTCCCCGGGAAGTTGTCTCTTCCAGGGACTTTTATAGAGGAAAACCATGTGGTGAGGAGGGTCTAAGGTGGTGGAGAAGACATGGGAACTTGCTTAGGTGGGCATGAGGTGGGACAAAACTATGGTCAACCAATGAGATTACAAGCACCATTGCTCAGGTAAAATTGATGAAAGCCAGTATCAAATAGGAAAGCGAGTCACGTAGCAAGCGGGCATGAATACGTGACAGGGTCTCTTCCTGTTGGGGGTTGGGCTGGTGACTCATTTGGGCTCTTTCAAGGTGACTGATACCTAGTTAGGACATCAATCCCTAATGCTCATCCCTAGGGAAGGATGTAGCTGTGTTTCCTCTTTTTGTCTTGAGATGTGGCCTATACGGGACTGTCTGTCTCTTCCAAGTTGCAAGGTCACCTTGTCTTCCATCTTGTCTCCCTGAGGGCCTGACCCTGTCTGACTGCCTATATTTCTATCTAACTCGGCTGCCTGCAACAAAAGGATGGAGAGAAACCAGTCTCCATGGCTGAGGGGCAGCTTCAAGAGTCCTGGGAGGAAAACAGAAAGATAAAGACAAGTCCGCCCACATGGGCCACCAAGGGAGCTCAGTGCCGAACACAATGAACTAGGGGGTAGGAGACAGTAGAGGCCAAAGGCAGAGTGCACTGGCGGCAGGTCCTCGGGCCATGCAAGCGGAGACAGGAAATACGGCAACTGCACTGTGAAGAAGAACCCGAGATGCCAGGTGGAGTCAGGTACGTGCAGTTTGCTAGAATTTAAAGCATAACTGGAGCATGCTTCAACGCTGGTAGGAAAAGAGGTCAGATAGGCAGAAGAGAGCAAACAGAGAGGAGAAAATGGGGAGGCTGATTCCACATGCACATCACCACAGGGAGGGGAAAGGACGCTTCCGTGACCAAGGACAGGAGGGGAAAGGACCACACATGTGCAGTGCAGAGTGAACAAATGTGAGACTTTGTCTGTGGAAAATAAAGTTCCCTTTTTCAGAGACCACCAACTTTTCCTGATACATCATTATTGCCGGCAGTCGAGTTAGAAATACTATAGGTAGTCAGACAGGGCCAGGCCCTGGAAGGAGGTACTACAAAAGACAAAGACAACTATGGGAGGGGCGGATGCTCCTGCTGTGAACCAGACCTAAAGGCCAAACAAATGCTAAACGAGTAGCACCTGGGATTGATACTCTAAATAGGTATCAATCACCTGGAAAGACCCAAGTGAGTCACTAGCCCAACCCCCAAAGGGAAGAGACCCTGTCCCATATTCCAACCCCCAACAGGAAGAAACCCTGTCCCATGTTCATGCCCACTTGCTACGTGACTCACTTCCTCATTTGGTCCTGGATTTAATCAATTTTACCTGAGCAATGGTGCTTGTAATCTCATTGGTTGACTATAGGTTTGTCCACCTCATGCCCACCTGAGCGAGTTCTCCACCACCTTAGACCCGCCTCACCACATGGTTTTCCTCTATAAAACTCCCTGGAAGAGACAATATCTCGGGTGAACAACCCGCTCGGCCCCCTTCCTGTCCTTCTCTCGGACATGAGCTTTCTTTCCACCAACAAATAGATTCTGCTCATGATCTCCTTTTGTTCCTAAAATTCGTTCTTCGGTTTTAGAGAACATGAACTTGTGCAGGTCAGGTCGGGAGATCGTTTTTTCTCGATGTCATTTGGTGGTTCCCTATATGGTTTGCAGGGCACCCTCCCGAGATCAGTTTTTCTCCCTATATCATCATGACACAAGTGACACCACAGCAGGGTGGACCCAGGTCAGTGAGGACAGAGTTGCCTCCTCCAAGGTGGTGGTGGGGAAGCAATCTATTCTCCACTGGGAGCTTAACTGTCACACTAAGAGGGACTCCAAACTTTCACAAAATACAACAAGAGAAACACCAAAACTCAAGAGAGGAAGTTCAGGGGAGTAGAACAGATTTTCTACAAGCAGACTCAGGAAAGCCCACGTAGAGGAGCCCGGGACGGAACCCCAAGTGGCAGAGGCAGCACACACAGAGTGTAAGCACATTGGCAGGTCTGCAGCCTCCAGACCCACCAACAAGCTCAGTGTGTGGCAGGAAGGATGTGATGTCACCCTCTTGGAAACACCAAGCTGTCCTTGATCACTACTCATCACTTAAATGGAGTTAAAGTGGCATTTGGTCCTTGGCGATGCCTGCTCGCGTGCCTGTCTGCAGGTCTGCATTTGTTGGTGACCACCAAGGTCTGCCCTGTGAGTTCTGCTTCCCCACCGCAGTGGCACTTCGCTTCCTCATGCACTCCTGCTTGACAGATGGCTCCAGGGTCATCATGACAGGAGCCAGGAGGGAGAGGGATGGCCGGACCCAGAGGCAGGCTAGTCTTGCAGGCCACACCACTGTCCCATCTGCTGGAGGTCCAGCTTGCAGCTTCAGGGGCTGTATCCTAATCCTGTGGCAGAGCAGCAGCCCAAGCCACTGGGGAGACGGCAGGTGGTCCAGAGTCTCCCCAAAGCTCTGGGCCTCTGTCTTTCCCATGAGTCTTTCCTCACACAGCAGCCCAGAGCGATGGAAAACCCAAGAATGGCCTCATCTCTGTCTTGCTCACATCCTCCCGTGTGTTGGTTGTGTGTCAGGCACCAGCCATGCCGCACTCCATGGCTTCTAGTTGGGTTGGGACCTGTGCCGGCTCACCCCCGGCCCACCGCCTTGTCCATTCGTCCCCGTGTGCCTCACCTGCCTGTATCTGGGGCTTGTGCCTGGACAGCAGTCCCCACCCCGGCACCCAGAGCCCACAGATCTTAGGTCGGACAGCCTCTTCCCTGCTCCTGTGTCCCAGGCCTTGCCTCGTGTGTCAAGGTCACCACAGCTGTACTTCACGGAGCCAAACTGAGCAGTGACCCCCAAGCAGCTGCCTGCCCCTGAGTGTCCAAGGAAGAGCAGGTATGGAGACAGAACATCAGGAGAGGCTGCAGGGGCCGTGCGGGCTGGACAGTCCTGCAGTGCAAGGCCTCCTCAGGAGAGCACAGTGTTTAGAGCCAGACACGCCCAGCACTGAGGTCAGGGAGGGAAGAGTGGAGTCACTAGGGTTTAAATCCCAAACCTATCTTGTGCGAACTAGCCAGGCTTAGGCAAGAGTTTGAACATTTTCTGCTCCCATGTCCATTTGAGTTTAACAGCAATTCCTACATCACAGGTTTATTTCAACAATTTATTTTACCCTCAGTTTAATATTGCATATTATTTCCAGTTAGACCTCTTCCAAGACATTCACGCAGTAGGAGACAGGTGATAGATGTACTCTGGAAGTCATTCTTGCCTTTGGAGTGGGTTGAGATGGTAGAAGGGCACAGGAAGCGTCGCCGATCCCTTGGGGCTTCCTCCCCTGCTCTGGCACCTGCTGCTTTGCCTTTCCTTCTCTGGCCAGGCTGGGGGTGGGGCACCCCCCTGCTGCCCTCTGGTTAAGGTCTGTAGAGAGGGGCCTCTGACGGGTCACTGGCGCTGTGCTCGGGCAGCACCATCAGGGCCCTTCTCCCCAGCTCTCAACACCTCTCCAAGGGGAGCGGAGGGACGCGCCACGTCAGCATCCCACTGCGCACCGAGAGACGAGAGCAGGTCTCCGCGGATCCTGCACTGTGGCCAGTGGGGAGGTGGTGACCACTGAGGTTACCTGCCAGCCCCAAGCCCACAGGGAAACTTCCAGTGGCCCTAACTGGGGATAAGCAATGGCTCTGGGGTCCGACAGGCCAAGTTCTCTTGCGCTCATCTTTCATAGGTTAATTTGGCAGAGAATTCATGAGTTGGGCCGCTGTCTCTTTGGGGTAAAGATAAACTCAGCGTGTGGGGCAAGTAGCTCAATTAGAGCAGCACCCGAGGGCTGCCCACTGATCTTCCAAGAAAAGCTGCCTGCAGGCTAAGTTCCTCAAACTCAAGACCCCGCTGAGGAGTGAGGGACCAGAATGAGAAAGCCACACTGAGGCCCCAGAGACAGGGAAGCATTGTCTACAGCCAAACGGAAGCTGAAATCAGGGAAATCTGGTCCTCATCCCAAAGATGCCAGAGCACTGGGTTGCGGTGCAGAAGCAGGAGGCGGTGCCCAGCCTGGGCACACAGGTCAGGGCGGGGATCACTCTGTGTCACCACAGAGTATCCTGTGCTGTCCTCAAGGTGTGGATTAGGAGCGCAGGGAACACCAGCACTTTCTCTTTAGCTCTAAGGGCATTCAATTCAGAGGACAGAGAGCTCAGGCTCTCCCGGAAACGCTGAGGTCTAGCCAGGCTGAGGGAGGGAGAGCCCCTATTTCCTGTGGGCAAGATGCCGCTGGGAACGCTCATGCTCCCGACTCCTTGGGCTTTTTGGATTTGAACCAATGGAAAAAAAACAGGCTGGAGACCTGAAAGGATCCCCACCCCTGCTGGCAGAGCCTCCAGCTGGTGGCAAGCCCAACCCAGTGCCCACGTTGCAGCCGAGCTTTGCTGGTCCCGGGAGCCAGCTACTCTGTGCAAAGGGGGCACTGGACAGGACCCCAAGAGCAAGCTTCTTTGCAGAGAAGCCGGTCCTCCCCAAGGAGGAAGGGAAGGCCAGGGTGGGAAGGCACTGGCGGTTCTGGCTGAGCCTGCTCTCAAAGATGCTCCCAGCGCTGGGGACTCCCCTCAGCAATGTCCCTCCCGGGCTGACAGCCCCAGAGCTGGAGCCACCACTGTTGGTGCTCATAGTGACTCCTGGCTCCCCACACTCCATGGGGGTCACTGACCCGCCAAAGGCAAAAGGTCGAGGTGCCTTGCTGCCAAACACTGGGTCCCCAACCCCACTCTGGCTCTGAGTGGTACCTCCAAAGGCAAGGCCCAGCAGACAGTGCGCAGGGACCTGCGAAGTGGGGGCCGAGAGCACCCCACCCCCAAGAGCAGACTGTGATACAGGGTTTGGGCATGTCACTGCCCAGTTCCTAGAAAGGAGAGGGCTACAGAAGGTTGGGGTGAGAGCCGGCTGTTTCTGCTCATCTCCAAATGCAGGCTGGAGAGGGACTCTGGGAGGTGTGGGGGCCAGGCTGGAGTGGCTGAGTGACAGTGTGGGTGAGCGGGCACATACAAGCGCTGAGGTGGACACAGGGCTCCGCTTGCCCCTAGACTCGGCAACTCTCCCTCCAGGTGTAACCTGGGCAGCATAGGAGACCTGGCTACCCACAGCGATTCTGTGGACAGCGGGAAGCGAAGGACGCTGCTGGAATGGAAAAATCAGGCCGGTATCTGGAGAGAAGCTGGCTGCCCCGGTGGGTGGCAGGGGTGTGAGGCCTGGGATCACTTTGCTGGAACTCCGAGGAGGCTGGGCAGTGAGGACTTGGAAGGTGCTGGCTGGGGAGGTAGAGGAGACCAGGCCAACGTCGAGCTGGGCTGCTGCGGGGGCCCGCTGGGCTGCTGCGGGGGCCGGCAGGGCAAGGTGCTGCCCGGGGGATGAAGCAGCTAAGCCAGGCACGGGGCTAAGGACGCCCGGGAAGACAGGAGGCTGGAAGGCCAGCGTCGGGACTCCCTCCGAAGATGGTGCTGCTGCTGCTGAAGCTCTTGGATCTGAGGGGCCTGCCGTCTCACTACCGGGAAGGGACCCCAAAGCTGGCTTTAACAGGGAGTCAGAAGTTACAGCAGGAGGAGAGGGTGCAGGAAGGTAGGGTGCGGGGCTCCCCCTCCCCGCAGACAGAGTGCTTTTCGAGGAGGGAGTAGCGGGGGTGGTGGCGGGTGGGTCTGGGGGCCAGGATGAGAAGGCAGCTGGAAGGATGGAAGCTGGCCGGGCGGTCATGGCGCCGGATGACCAGGGAGCAGCTGCTGGTGCGGAGACTGGAGAGCGGATGGGAAGGGCCTCTAACAGTGCGTTCCCCTGGGGCGCTGGGGGGCCTGGCGACGTCTCCTCTTGGCTGCCCAACGGAGCACCTGCGCCAACGGGTGACTTGCCTGCTGAAGGCAGAGCGACGACGCACAGGTGGGGCCCGACGCCAGGTCGGGCCTCGGGGGTGGAGTCTGAGGGGGCCCCCGTCGCAAGCTGACCAGCTGTCTTCCCAAAGGCGCAGTCCTCATCAGAGCCACCGGCCTCGGGCAGCAGGTCCCCCGGGCGGAGTGGCTGCGGCGGGGTCTTCTCGCTCGGCGGTCCAGGGCGCCCGGCTTCTCCAGGAGAAGCGCTGCGCACTGCCGGCGGGCGCACGGCCGGGGGCGGACGGCCTTTTCCTCTCTT